CCAGCCGCGGAGCAGGAGCCTCACCCGCACCCAGGCCCGGGGAGGCGCAACCCGGGACCTGCCTGGCCCGTGTGTGGTGCGGGCAGGGGCGCTTCTGCTGGTGCCGGCGGCCGCCCGCGGCCCCGGCCTGCGTGGGTGGGCTCCTGCGCTTCAGCATCGCCCCCACCCGCGCAGCGACCCCTCCGTGGGCAGGCTCAGCAAGGCCTGGCTCTGGTTTGGACATTCAGGCCCTCAGCTCCCCCTGGACTGGAGAGGAGGGCGGGACAGGGACTTGGCCTCCTATGATATTCAGGGTTTGGGGGGGTCACCCTGGGGTCCCCAGTCTCCCACCCCACGCCTGGCTAGGGCTTCTGCAACACCTTGAGGCCTGTGAGGTCCCCCAAGGTGATCCGCAAAAACAGAGCACTCTCAGCTCAAGGTCAAGCCCAGGCCTCCAGAGATGTCAGGCCCCTGGCAGTATTACCCACCCACAGCAGCACCCACCCCACAGGCCTTCTGGTTAAATTAACCTGAAGAGTTCCTTTTTTCCCCCCTTTTGCTTTTTACTGCTTTGGCCCTATTTTTAAATGCCATAAAACCCCCTGTCATTAAACTTGGCAGGCTGGCCAAGCCTGGGCCAGGGCACTTTCTAAGTTGGTTAGTGCTTAACAGCACAATAGGCACCAGACCCCAAGGCTTGAGGATGGGGGTTGGCCCCGCAGGGAGAGCCGCCTGGAGAAAAATCTAAGTGAAAATCTAACTGAAACTGCCCAGTCTAGAGCTGAATGGAGGCCCATCCTGCCTGAGCTCTCTGTGGCCTGGGATGCGTCAGGAGGAACTGGGATAAGCCGTGAGAGTAAGGGAAAGAAAGAAGAAAGTCGTAGTAGAATTTGGTTTAATGAGGTCAAAGCCGACCTAAGAGTCCGGCCCACGGAAGCAGAAAAACAAAAAGCAGTAAAAGAAACCCGAACTCCTGCTAATATCCATACGCAGAGCAGATTAACAGAGTCAATAAAGGCCGCCATATAGATAAGATAATACCTGGGCATATTTGTTTAGCCTGTGCAGACAATGGAGGGAGGGAGTTTGCTCATTAACATGTTGGGACTGGGTGGGGGGGCTCTTCGCAGAATATCCAGGGGATGACAGGAACGCCCATGGTGGCTGCCAGTCCCGAGAGACACGACGGAGGCTTACAGGCAAACCCCGTGGAGGTGCAGAGTTACCAGCCACCTTGGAAAGTACTGAGTGACTTTGCCTTGCAGAGTGACATAGATCAGCCTGCTTTTCAGCAACTGGTAAGTGTCAGCTCCCAGCGTGAGGGGCTGAATCTCCACCGGGAAGGAGGTTCTGGTTTAAGGGATTCTGTGGGGGGCGGGTGCCTCCCAGGCCCCAGGGTTGGGCAGAGATGAGGGCCGGGTGGTGAAGAGTCGGAGGCAGCTCCAAAGGAAAACAAACCTCCTGCGAGTCCCTTTTATGAGAGTTCATCATTTGACCACATTGGCTGCATTTTCTGTCAGCCCTGCTCTGATGGATTAACTTCAAGGTGCCTAACAAAGTAGACGTGCCTGGGAAGCCGACAGGGTTGCCAAATTGTGCCTTAGACTCCAGAGTGAGAAGGGACTTTAGAGAGCACCTTGACATTTTAATCAGCAGTTAGTGAATTTCCTCCCGCCTCAGCTCCTGGGGAATGGTGCGTTTAAGGGCCTAAGTCAATTGTAATGATGTGAACCTGCGTAATCGATGCCATTATCCGTGGGCCGCAGGCATCTGTCCGGTGCCGGTTTCAGGTATATCAAGAAAGATCTTAGTTATTATTCAAAGACATGATTGATACTTTTTTGTTACTATGTCCCTTTCTGGGACTGTCTTAATCTAAAGTGTAGGGCTGCTTAAACATTTTTAAGTGTGTGAACGAGTTCAAATTTCATACATAATGACATGCTGTAGAGCATGTGTGTAGCAAAAGGAACATGAGTTCTACCAATCAGAGAGATAACACGTGAAAATCTGTTTAGTATTAATATGCTTTACACATCCGGAAAAGAGAAAATGAACTCACCTTTTGCCGACAAAAGGCTAAGAGTCCAGATAAATGAGATGATTAAATATGTCCTTTGTGATACTATGTTCACGTAAGATTCTCTTCTTAACTTGTAAACAGCCCTAGAAAATCTTGCTGTATAACGCTAGGTCTATCCTAAAAACATGTTCCTCTCCTTGGAAATAAAGGTTTAGTTGAGGTTAGCGTTTTACCCTCACGTTTACCTGGAGGGCCTTTTTGTCCTAAGTGGTAGCAGGTAGGTAATGGGCCAGTCAGTGGTTGATTACAAAGGCCTGGCTGGCCCAGGTTTCTGTTTGCAAGTGGGCCAGTCTAGGAAAATTTAAGAAGTCCCTTGACCTCCCAATGGGAAAGTTTAACAGGGTAGAAAGGAAGGTAGACTCTGGAATTGGGAAAAATAACTTATTTTCAAATCAGGTCAATCTTCTGAGTTATTTGAGTGAAACCTGGATCCTAGAAGGCAGGCAGGGGAGGGTGCAGGGCCGCTCCTGAACCTTTATGACAGATGTGAGCAGAAGGAAGTGGGAACCAAGCAGGAGGCTGGGTAGGGAAGGATCTTTACAACAGCAACACAGGACTTTCTCAGCTCAAGAGGAGCCAGATATTTATAATGCGATGACGTTATAATATATGGGTCTCCTCTCGGGAGGAAGAGCCTGATTTAAAGGGAAAGAGAGAGAGAGACAGAGAAAGGCCAACAGCCTGCAGGACCCACAAGGAAGGGGCCCGGGCCGTGAGCCCTCTGAGGAGTTCATCATTGTTATGGGAGCCGCCTCTGAATCGCCCGTCCCAGCATCTGAGCGACCTGAGCGTGCGTGTGGATTTTCCAACTCAAGAAGAGAGGCTTGAATGCCTGGAGACGAGACCTCGCCTGCTCCCAGGGCAGCACGTAGCTGGCAGGACAGTTTTTTTTGGAGCATGCGTGGTAGAGAGGAGATGCCATTTTACAGTGAGAAGCATGTTTGTTCTTAAATAATTTAATGCAACACAATGTTGGGAATTCCGCTTCAGTTAAAACAGTTCTCTTGGAAGATGGGAAAGCGAGAGGATTTCTTCTCCACTCCTTTTCTTTCTAGGCTTTCTTTAGGGCTGTTAAAAATTGAATTACACACCCGGATATCTCTCTCTACACACCTGTCCGTCTGCACACGCAGATACTTATATACACATACACGGGAAGACTTTATCACCCTTTCGTGAACGTGATCAAAGCCTGCTTTATTCATTTCTCAACCTTCCACGCAGGTCAATTTTTCCGAAGGAGGCCCGGGCTCTAATTCCACCGGCAGCGAAGTGGCGTCGATGTCCTCTCAGCTCCCAGATACACCCAACAGCATGGTCGCCAGTCCTATCGAGGCCTGAGGAACATTCACTCAGATGTATTGTTTTCCTTCCCCGTTGGAGACAGTGGGAAACTATAACGCTGAACTCCGAAACAAAAGTATTTAACGACCCAGTCAGTGAAAGCTGAGTTGAGAAAACGAATGCTCCATGAAATGCACGAAGTCTGTTTTAATGACAAGGTAATATGGTAGCAACACTGTGAAGACAATCATGGGATTTTACTAGAATTAAAACAAACAACAAACGAGAAACCCAAACCCAACATATGCTATCCAATGACCTTAGGAGTACTGAAAAAAAAAAAAAAAAAA